CCCGATGAATCCGATAGGAGATCCGCTGATCTTCTTACGATTCCTTCCGCGTTATGCCGTCAATCATCATGGCATTTTCTTCCGCGGATTGCAATTGATTTTGCGGTTGTCTCCCCGTTTCGGATGGCAAGAGGGCATTTGGTTATGGAGGATCATGCAAGAATAAAATGATTCATCCAAGCCTCCATATCAGGTGCCGCGAGCAAGGGATTGGATTTGAACCGATTATTTTCGACCACGCAGGGGGTATGAATGAGGAGGATAAGAGGATTCTGAATTCGTTATATAAAGCGATTGATGACCCGAATAGACGTCAAATCGGACGTACAAGATATATAATAGAGGAATGAATTTCCATTGCCCTCTAGCGCTATATCAATCATTGTCTCAGATATAGACAAGCGGATTCTCAAGAAAATCTCCATTCTTTGTGCCTGGGATTCCCTTTTGATTGATTCTCCTCCCGGAGAGTTCTCTCCCTATGCCAGCGATTGCTTACGCCAGGCTGCCCCTCAGCGCAGGTCCGAAACGATAGATGACCAATTAGTTTTAGGAAGAACTTTTGGATAGAGGTCTCATTGAGAAATTATTCGTGCATTATCTCCGTTTCTGTCTTTGTTTCTGCGAGATCTTGGATCCCTGGACGTTCGGCGGGCGGTGGCAGGCTTTAATGCATGGTCTGGGGACCTGATATCGTGCGTCCTTTCTTCTTCTACGATAATATATGAATTTGTCTTATTTTCTTTTCCCTACGTATCTTACAAATGGCGGATACGAATTTTGATTTGGATTGATGCATTTCAATAATATCTGATATTTTGATTGATAATCGATAAAAAATAAGAAGATCGATTGAAAAAATATCTGATAATCTCAAAAGATAATGAAGATAATAATCTGATAATGATAGGTCTATAGATTATATTCATATCTAGATCACGAAATCGAAAATAAATATATATCAAAAATCTTAATCAATGAATATATGAATGATAGATAGATCATCAGATCTATATAAAAATGAAATAGAAAACTACGAAAACGATAAATTTGAGAGATCTTCAGATCGACAAATGATAGATATATAATGCGATAATTTCGTCAATAAATCGACGAATTATTAGAAAATTTCTTCGAGAAATTAATATTTTGATTGATTGATCGATAATAGATATGAATATGAAAGATTCTAGAAGAATGATAATGATTTCATCGGACCGATATAATGCGGTCAAATATTCGTCAAAAGAAGATTTAGGAGGGAGGGAAATCTATCGCTTTCAAAATTCAAAGAGATTTGGGAATATAAATTATAAAGATAATCAGAAAGAGATTCTTCAAAATTAAAAAATCCTTATTTTTCTTATCATGATCTCTTCTTCCTCCTCGAATTAATAATTTCGAATCTAAAATCATTAATTCTATAATAATATTTGGAATCTCGATAATTTTTGATTTTTTTTAGAGAAATTTCATAAGATATCCTAATGGATATTCGTGAGGAATAGACTAAATACGAGGAACGAGAATTTCAGAATAGAAATATTCAAATAGAGAATGAGAAGATCTCATTCGAATGAAATAATCGTAAATATTAGAATTGAACCATTCATTAGAAGGCGAAAGATCATTTGAGAATCTGATCGCTTGATAGGTCTTCTAGATGATAAAAATGATAATGATGATTGGATAGATATTCTATTATATAAAAAGATCAAGAAATTGAATAAATAAGATCAAATTCATAATTCGAAATTTCGTAATTTATAAATTATCAGATGAATAGAGAAAATGAGAGATATAGAAATTGATATATATAAGATATGATAGAGAAATTCCTCTTTGATAGATTAATAGATATCAAAGATGATAGATAATCAGATGAAATGATCTTCTTGATAGATAGATTCAAAATTTCGATTGAGAGATAGATGGATAGATATTCTTAAGAGAATATTAGATTAATAAAATGAGAAATCTATAGAATTTTCGGAGAATGAACATCAAACTAAATCAAAAATATCTCAAATCAATTGATAAATTCATAATTCGATAGATCGTAAAATTACGTCTTAGATTGATTGATTATATAAATCTACGACGATCGCTGCGTGCTAGGATTATTCCGGAATGATTTCATAAGATTGCCTAATCGAAATTTTTCAAGATTACGAATTTCAAGAATATAGATTTATTATGCATATTCAATTTTTCCGAAATGCTAAGAAATACGTAAAAGATCAATGATTTGGAATATTCTTTCTCCAATCAGAGAGATTTAACTTAGGATGAGAGAGGGAAGAAGGAGGTCATCGCACGTATAAGATCGCCCTGGGAAATTATTGATCTAATTCATATATATATAAAACGGAACGATCATCGATCTTTTTTAATCCTATAACTCGAATGAGATCTAGCTTTCCGATTCTCCTTATTCAAATCTTGTATATATTCTCTAATTTTTTCGAATTTCCTAAGATTTTAAACTCATTCGATTAAATTAAAGATTTAAAATCTCTGAGATTTTAAGATGGAATGAGATATTCAATAAATCTCAGAAATTTTAGATCGCGTATCCCTCCGATTCCCACGAATTTTCCGTATCATCGATCTCTCTACGATCATGCGCGGCGATTCGATCCAATAGAAAAAATCGGATTCTATCTATATTCTTATGAAATTCTTAATTTATCAATTAGCAATCAATCTAAGTATCGATCTATCTTTCTTTATATATATTTCGAATTATCGATTTCATGAGAAATGAATTATAATTCTATCAATCAATCCTCATTTATTTGAATTTCTTATCTTTCCCTCAATCCTTCATCCCCAATTATCATCATTCATGAAATTATTGATATATATTAATTCAATCAAGATTATCATCTAATCGTTCATCATTCGTGAAAATATAGAATCCCTATCATTTCCGATGAATTATATATTAAAATTGATCCATTGCTCATAAAACCGGAACATATATTTATTCGAGAATATCTATAATGAGAAATCCGATGAATAATCAAGATATAAGATCGTATATAATATCCGATGAAGAATCAATATATAAGATCGCACGTGATAAAAACGACCAATGAATAGATTCGGAAAGATCTTGGATCGCCGCCCCGGATCTGCATATTCCAACGAGCCGCCGCGCAGATAATCAAAAAGAAGGAAATGATTCGAATTTTCGAGAGATTTTTGGCCGCACGGTCCCTGCATACGGCTTAATCTTTCCGCCTCATTTATCTCTTTTGGATTATCTGCGAAATGATTCGAAAGAAGATATTCCATTCCATAGATAGAGATTATCATTCTGAGAATTCTGAAAGATTTTAGATCTACGTCCGAGGTCTAAATATTCCGTCGAATAATCGTCTAAATAATCAAAAAGAGAGAAATAATTCGAGATCTCGGGAGGCTTTTGATCGCGCAATTCATGCGATCCGCTCTTTCCGCCTCAAGAAATATCGTCAATCTATAACTTGAAGATGATTTTAGATCTCCGTCCCGGATCTATATATTCCGTTGAATAGATAGTCATAAAGAGAAAAATAAATCATATAGAAGATAGTTCCGGAGGCAAGAGTCCTACGATCTATAGATTCCATAAAAGTTAGATCCCTGCATTGGGATTGCATATTCCGTCAAATCGCGCAGATAATCAAAGAGAGAATTAATAATTCTAAATCTAAAGATATTTTTAGATTGCGCGGTTCTCGTATCTATCCCGGTCGTTCCGCGTCATTTATCTCTCTTGATTGCATTAATATATGTAGAGAGCCTTAAATTCCGAAGGATTTTATCGAATCTATACAATTTTTGAGCAGCCGCGCAATCGGGAGGCAATTCGAAAAAATTTAGGTTTCTATCATAGATTTTTCTATTTGCCCAGCCGGGCATGCATTCAAAGAGAAAGAAAATTATTGAAATTTCGAGAGATTTTTGGTCATTCGTTCCCTTTATCTGGGGCAATCTTTCCTCCCCATAAAGATATCTGCGCAGCAATTCAGGGCAATATATGAATCGCGATAAATTCTCGTAAATAAAGCTTATATATTTTGAAAGATATTAATTCTCCATCTCAAATAGATTCATTCTGCGACCCGAATATAGAATCAAAGAGAGATAAATCCCAGAAAATCGAACTTGAGATAAAGATCATATAGTAAAAAAATCATGAGATATTCAATTCCAAAAATTTTCGTAGATCCTAGAGCTTCTAGCTTTCCTGAAAAATTATAAAATCTCGCAAATTTTATATCTATAAAAATCTTTTTAATAATGAGTCGACAAATCTAAGCCATACGCAAATAATATGATTTCAAATAGTCGCCTCGAAATAATATATCATTTTTTAATTATAGAAATTAAAATTATTATAAATATTCTTCTTCTTTCCGCCATTTTTATTGAAATTTACAAAAAAATAGATTCTATCTTTTTTCCATTTATCAATATTTAGAATTATAAGATAAATTTTTGAAAACATATATATTCTATATAATATCTAAATAAATCTGCGAATCTCAATATCAAATTTTCAAATTATCGTAACCTATAAAAATGTATTCTCGAAAATGAACCATCAAATTCCAGAGATTCAATTCTCTCATATATTCTCGGGAGTTATCTGAAATATATAGAATATATTTAAAAATCCAAGAAAATTCATTTCCTTTTATGGTTATCAAGTCAGATAGTCAAATCTATTTCAAATATAGTAGGAACTTCTTCTTATTCTCGCATATGATTCTTATTTAAGTTGGTCTGCCCAAAAAAATCATATCTATTTAAGATGATTATCCCAAAAAAATCCTTCTCTCTTATAGATTATAATTTCAGACGGTTGATATAAGGCTCAAGAGGGAAGATATTGGGATTATTAGGCTATCGACCCCATATCCCAAGCCCAAATGAATCTATCCCTTAAAAAAAGGTAAAAGAACTATAATCCCAGCTCTCCATATTCTTCCAACTTTTTGGTTGCTGCGCTATCGACTGAGCTTCTGCATTGCCATCTTGTGCCTTAGTATCTAAAAGGTTTCGGGTAAAGGTAACTTTTTGGTTCATATAGGGTTCTTATGGATTCCCCAACCATCCGTCCTATGCAACCCCCCAAGTTTTCCCTTACTCAGCACCCTAACCGGCCTTGAATAATCTAAATGCAGGGGAGCCCAATTCAAGCGACATCCTAAACCCTAAATCCTAAACCCTAAATCCTAAACCCTGAACCTGAAATCCTAAACCTTAAATCCTAAACCCTAAAGATTACTCGATAGAGAATTAAGGTGCCACCGCAAGAGACTTGAGAACACCTTGCGGGCGCCCACGAAAGCCTTGCCTGTCATGGCTTAGAGGGTTTGAGGACCCTTTTATGGTTGAGGGTTTAGGGTTTTAGGGTTTCAGGCTTAGGATTTAGGATTTAGGGTCTAGGATTTAGGAGTTAAGGTTTAAGGTTTAGGGTTTGGGGTTTTAGGTATATCTATATCTATCCACCTGTCTATGTATATAAATATACATGTTTCTGATTTGGAGATTGCGTCGGAATGCAGGCCTGGGCCTGTGTTTTTCAGCGAAAACAAGCGGTTTTTGTACGTGTTTCTAGGGGTTGATCACACAAAAACCACATACCTATGTTCTGAATCTTCAGCTGGCTTGCATTATGTTCATTTTAGTTTATGCTACTTGGCAATACCTAGATTTTCTGTAGATTTATACATATGGCAGCGCCCACCCTGGACCAACCTCGACACCTTATCCTCCTTATCTGCTACCCGCTCTGTTTATGGCATGTCAAAACATGGAGAATCACGGTGCATTCCTTATCCATTAAGCTTCGCATCTACCATCACCCTCAAAAAGAGCAGCGCAAAGGAGACCCAACCATGAGCACAAACCCTAGGCTCTAAAACCTGGTTCTCTCTGTGTTCAAGCCTGTGCACCGTCAAGGTTAAGGTTGTGCCTCACTGACCCCCTCAATGAAGCTACTGAAAGTACATCTAATGTGAGATTGAGCCCAAGCACGCGGTTTTCTGCAATCAAATTACAGAGTCCGGGCTGCTTCCTTCATATGACTGATCAGCAGAATTGCATTAACTAGATTAAGTAGACTGAGGCTCAGGCTGCCGAATCGAAATACAAACTACGTAGCCTGAATAATGGACTACTTGGATTCAGGCTCAGACACCCTATCTCATTCATGCAAATAATGCCATACGTTTATAACGCTTATGACTGGGACTGCCAGCCTCAACAGCTCCAACACTCAAACGAATCTAACAAAACAAGCTCTTGGGCTGACTAGATTCCGGTTCAGGCCCCCTTATCACATGAGCTGTAGTCTAAACTCCTAATATCCCCCTTAATATCCCCTATAATAGTCCCCTATATAATCCCTTATATCCTAAACATTACATTATTTGGGCCGTAGTCTAAACTCCTTAATTGGGAACTACCATTGGGGTTATTAACGGGATACTAGGCGTTTAGACTATAGCTCATTGGGGTTGATCAACTTGTGGAGTTTGATCAAATTGTGGGGTCTTGGCCGTCTCCTTCCTTTGGTTACGTACAGGAGTCAGCTCAATAAGCGTGATTGGATTCAGACTCAGAGCCGCCAATCTCAGTTATGAAAGCGAGTCGACAACAAAGTTTCGACGACCAGCCCCTGTAATTTTACTAATCGAACGACTGCAGCACATCAAATTGTTCGACTGTTAGACTGACTTCTGTGAGCTGACCAAAAAAATTCGATCGTTTGGGTTGAAGAAATTGTGAGGTCCTGGCCGTCTCCTTATCTGGATAAGTAAATGAATGGGATCAAACAGGTTGAAAGGATTCAGACTCAGGCCCACTAATTTAGTCAGCCAAAACAATGGAATAATCAGAAAAGCTAAATTTCTTTGGGTTCAGGCTGAAGCCCCAATCTAGTTTATGCATGTCCTGATAAGTGGCTTAGTTTCATCCATTTGATGGATCAAATTATAGGATTCAAGCCGTCGCCTTCATTTGATCAAGTAGATGCTCCGCTTTGATTTGATTACTGAGTTTCAGGCTGAGGCTCCCTTGATTTCATGAGTCAAAGTATCAAAGGGTTTAGGGTTTAGGATCCAATGAATCAAAGTCTCAAATAAGTAGATGACTCGGATTACTTGGATTTACACACCAGGCCCCCTCATCCAATTAGTCAAAGTGATGGAGCTGATGCAAGCGCCAAATGAATGAGACAACTAAATCCCATACTTTGATTATTCAAGGGAATCACTTGAACCTGATAAAACAAACTGTTAAGCAACAAAGACCAGTTGGATTAATTCAACGATGGGATATCAGCTTCACTAGGTTCATCCAATGGCGCAGTCCTAGCCGTCTTCATTTGCTCACTTGGGAGATTTTGACTACTCCGTCCTGCTGATGGAATGAACCGACTTAATTGAACACTTGGATTGTGTATACCCGCCGGCCCTCCAACCTCGTTCTTGCAATTAGCACAGGGTTGAAAAACGCATCAATGATACGACTTGATCCCTTATGATGGTTCACTAAATTCCTTAAGACATTCCGTTTAGCGCAAGTATGAGACTACTCAGATGAATCACACAGATTTCATTATCCTAGAAAGAGTTAGTTGCATTGCTGTTTGATTTGATTGGGTCTAAACGGTATTTGTAAGAATGAGACCATCGCGACAGATATCTTTAGTCTACACGTCGAATCCAAATGAGTCTAAAAAGTCCATGAAAATCAGGAAAGATGAGCAGCTTGACAAAACACAGTAACTTAAAAAACAGACAAAACACATCCTCACAATCCCAACATCGCAAAAAGCAAAACCAGTTCTGAGAGTTCCCCAAATGCCAATAGTTTTTGCAATTCGGCATTCCAAAAGTTTGAAAGCATTTTTGCTTCAGATTTGGATTTGTGTTTTTGGACTGTGGTCATGCGAAAAAATTTGGTCCTTGGAGGGGAAGATTCGTATATATATATATACACACACGTGTATAGGATTTTGGTCAGTTTAGGGTTTAGGATTCAGGATCCGGAACTCTAAGCCCTAAACCCTGAACCAGGATTTCTTAGGGTTCAGAGTGCACGGAAAATTGACATTCTGGAAGACTACCTCGAAAGGCCTTGACTACTTCAAAGGAAGCCAATTGAGGAAAAATGTTTAGAAATAAGGTTTAGGCTTTAGGGTTAGGGGACGTGGAGGTAGAGCATATTTGGGTTTAAAAGGACGTTAACCGGAGTTATTGGAGTCTGAGGCGACCGAAGGGCCGTGCCTCCCAAAACAAAAACTCCCAAAGGGGGTTTCATTGGGCAGAGGACGTTGACCACAAGGGAGAAGTGATATACATATTCCCGCTCTTGCAAGTAGGAGTTATGATAGCATCTTATATGCGGGACCTTGTAATGAGAATGGCTTGTTGCATAAATGCACTTTACACACTTTTCTTGGGACCCCAGGCAAGAGGCCAATCAGGAACTTTTCAAGCCAGTTTTTCCTGATTGGCTGGCGCTGACCGCGTGTCACAAAATGTAAAGCCCACCTTTCCCAGGACCCCAAGCACCCTCCTTGCATACACAAACTGAAGCCTAAATCGTGGAAGCTCCAAACACTGGCCGCCAGACTATATAACTCCCTGGTGCTTAGGAGGGAATGTGGGGAATGGATCCCTATAGTAGTCCCTATATAATCCCAAATAATAATCCCTATAACCCATTCCCCATTCCCTGCAAAGCACCAGCGATATAAGCGTCTTTTTCAACTTGAGCCTTTAGGGTTTAGGGTTTAGGGTTAACCCAGAGTCCCAAAAATTGGGTACTGCCCCCACTCATTCTCGGTTGGGTAATAAATCTACTGTATACTGGAGTTATATACAGTCCTTCATTTTACACAAACTATAGGCTGTCATTGGGTGGAGGCAGCGCCCAACCTAACCCCCCAAACCCTCAACCCCTACAGCCCAAACTCCTACATCTTAAAAGAAGAGCCAGCCACCATTCTGGAAGTGGTCGAACATGCTGTCGTACAGGTGCCCCTTGATCATTACCACCTGCGACAAGTGGGTAAACAACACCCTGCACCCGAAGCTCCTACTCCCCAAAAAACCCTTAACCCAAGAGCCCAGCCCCGAAACTCGAGACCTGAATACTCAAAATCCTAATTAAACCCTACAACCTTTAGGGTTTTGGGCTTAGGGTCCTAACTCCCCAAACTCTAAACCCAAAATCCAAAGTTTTGGAACAGAGCCCTATGCTCACAGAGAATGTGGGGTCTCGCGCAAGCATTATCTCAACTCCAGCTACATGGAACGAAGAACGACGATCTACGTTCATATGAGCTTTAGTCTAGACTCCTAGTGTCTCCTTTGATCAGCCCTGTCATACTCCCCCCATATAATTCCCTATATACCGCTTTTCAGGAGTTTAGACTCCAGCTCAGATGCTTTGCAGTGTAGCAATTCTAGTGATGCAGGCCCCCTTCCTGCTTCTCCTAGTGGCCACGTTTCGACATGCACACCTGCGCCGTGTAAGCGTTTTTTCGCTGTTCCACACTTTGCTGCTTGTGTTTCGCTCTTAGATCGAGCATCCACCCCCTGTTGCCCAAAATGCAAGGCCGCCCCCTGTTGAGCAATATGGGATGTAAGAAACTGCTTGACGCCATGAAATTGTAGTACCTTCGCGTATTGCATCGGCGCGATTACACGCCCTCCCTCCAAGCCCCAACTTCCATCCCTACCCCACAGAGCCGGATCGTCGAATACCATCTTTGACTGTGCAACCCTCATTGTAGCAAGGTATTTCGTACTCCTAAGTAACCAAAGCAAGCAGGCTTCCACAAGGCAGCACTGTAAGGGCGCAGATACTAACTAATGTCATCTTAGAGTTCATTTGAGGTACCGTAATTATCACTATGGGCCCCTGCAGAACCCCAGTGTACATCTCATTCCCCATTTTCTTTTCGAGTCTATTCTCCATTGCCCCTCAGCCACCCTGAGACACTAATTCTCCCATGCCAAATTCTACAAGCAATCTTCCTAGGCTTCTACACTAAGCTGATGAAGCCCACTGCAAATGGCATCACAAGATCCGAACGGCCTTGTGAAATCTAAGCCCGCACGTCTCTACGCTTCCAGGAAGCATGCGGAACTCATAGGGGATGTATCCGGATCCTTTGCTATATAGGATCCTATAAGGTTTAGATTTGATTATCTAAGGTCATGTAGGGATTACTGTATCAGGACTACAAAAGGCTTCCAAGGGGTTTGGGAACGTATCCGGATCCTGTGTTACTCTCACACTTTAGGCTAGGTAGATATAGTACACAGCCCCAACCGAAAACCTTGCTATCTTGAGGTAGGCCCGCACAAAGTAGAAGTGGTAGAATGGCCATGCATAACGACCATAAGATGATAAGAATAAATCCTTGTGCTCATAAGGGTGTAGGGTTTAGGACCTAACCTAACGCTGTCTATAATAAATAAAGACAATATGCAGAAAAGATTGGACATTACCTGAGTTCTAGGGTTTCCGCACCGTTGACGGCTTAGGAGATAGCTGAAACCCTGGAACTCCCGAGGTAGAGGGCAATATCTGGCCCCATAAACTTGTTCAAATGACAATATAGGTTTAGGCTGTTTAGGGTTTAGGGGCCAAATCATACTTATGCAAAGGACTTGGTTGGAGTTTCAGGGTGATTCTAACCTGCCCTAAGCTCTAAACCGTAAATCCTAAACCCTAAACTGGGAACTGTAGCTATGATATAGTTAAAGTTATGAACAGCCTAGCAGTCATTTGAGGATGAGCTAATCAAGGCTAACTAGGGAGGAACCTTGGGGATAGTAAAGGGCGTGGGTTTTTGTTTTAGGGTCTGGGAAGCCCATGAAACTACTTACAAGTAGAAATTCATAATCACCGAAGCTTTGGGGTTTTAGGTTTCGAATTCGAGTTCGTCCAAGTCACTAAGAAAGCATCCTTGAAAAATGCATGCGACCTTAACCATTCAACCCCAAATAGAATCGGCCCCTGAACCCTACAAATCCCGACATCCTAAACCTCAAGTTGTGAGTTGCTGCCAACGTGTAGAACCCAAATGAAACAGGATAATCCAGAAATATCTCATGCCCTTAGCCTTACTTACATAATGACTCCGCGATATACCCAACATATGGGTGGTTGTCAAAATTATGGTCCCTTTTTGGATCCCTATTGTAATACGGCACCTAATATTTAGGGTACCCAATGAAGGACCATAATTTTGACAGCCACCCATATGTTCTTCGACTTGTCATCTGAGCCCTGGTGCTCCAGTAACCTTATTACAAGATCCTTTTAAAAGAACGGGGCACCTTCTTCCTACCGGTGGATTGAAAAACATGTAAAAGAGTACCTCTGCACCCCTAAACCCTTAAACCCTAAACTCCTAAACCGCGCCTACATCAGGGTCAATGAAAAGTCTCTGTATTACGAGAGCTATAGTCAACAACTCCCAGTATCCCCCCGTAGCAAATCCTGTAATACTCCCCTATATAATCCTGTATATAACCCCCTACACCCTAAACCCTAAACTCTTAACCCTAAATGCTATATCATCCCCTAGAAAAACCCTCTTAAAGGACGTTAGACTATAGCTCAATTGAAGCACTACATCTCGACCTCCTGAAGCCGATGCAAGCCAAAGCCCTGCACCCTAAATCCAAGTCTTAAGGAATGTAACAGATTCTCGGATAGGAGAATACATGATAGTAGGTTCTAGTAGATCATGATGCATCATAATATTTTTGTATTTGATCGTACAACATAGTAGTGTATCATAATTACCCATAGTAGTTCATAGTATATTCTAGTGTAAATCTCACAGATTATAACAGATTATAATCTATTCTTGTATAGTATAGTAGGTTAGCATAGTAGGCTATAGTAGATTGTAATATATTACAGCATAGCGTATTATATTATGGTAAGTTATAATGTGTTCTACTGTACCATGATATATTTATAGTATATCATGGCAACTTCTGCTGCAGGATCCCTGCTTGCCATCTTTGTTCCAGTTGATGGCCACAAACGAACACCTCGGCATTCCACGCTGGAACAACTTCTTTTGATGTTTTACTGGGTTGCTGTTAGGGAGCTTACAGTGAGTTACTATATTGGGGAAACCGTATTAGCTACTACATATATCCATTATGGTAACATAAATGGAATTCCTTAACAGCAACCTGGTTTAGGGCCTGGTGTATAAAGGGCTACACCCTAAGTACCCTGTGGACCACAGTCCTTTCATGATTCAAGAAGCAAGTAACTTCCAAAAGCAAAGCCAAAAGTATCCCTGAATACCCTCCCCAAACTAATTTGAAACCTGACGAGGGGGTCCCTGGTCGATTGCTGGGAGAGTGACAATGCACCAGCTTTGAGCTTTAAAAAGACACACGGGTAACCCCAAACCCTGAAGCCTCGACCCCCCAAAACATTGAACGCAACCCTAACCGTAAACCCCACACATGCCCCTAGAAGCCTTGTAGACTATGAGCCTAAACCCTAAAGCTTAAACCCTAAACTGGCGAGAGCGCGGCTGACCATGTACATGCGCGCTCGAGCCGCACGCCGAGGACCCCCGTCCGAGCGTCTTTACAGATACAGTGAGGGAGGGTAAAGCCTCCCGGCAGACGGTGGCAGGCTTGGCAGCTACGAATAGGCCCTCCAGGGTTGTATAGCCCCTCAAACTAGACCGTTGGGGGGCGCTATGCTGTTTTCAGGGCTCTTAGCAAACCCCCTGGCCCTCCGGCTTGCAGGTCGCCGCGGAATTCCTGGACCCCCGCCAGAAAGGGTGTCCCAGCCCATTTTCCCGATTTTCGCATTGCGCCGCAAAGGTTGCAGGATCTTCCCAACAGCCTCCCAGCGCCCGCAAACCCGGCCCATTTGGGCCTCCCAAGGGCCTTCCAGGGCTTTTGGGGCTCACGGCCATCCAGGCCCTTTCAAGAAGGCTTGTCAACCTCTTTTCGGATTCCGCGAACGGGCTTTGAAGGACCTGCCAGAACCTCTCAGAGTCCCGAAAAGGCGTTTGCCCTTTTCGGCGTTTGCTCTTCGGCGTTTTAAGTCTTTCAGGACCTGCCAGCCTTTCCGAAACAACAGCATCCAAGCACGTCCCAAAACCTTCCAGGCCTCAGGGCTGTCAAATTGCAAGGCAAGAGGCCTCACTAACTTCGGCGG